ATTTCCTTAAATGAGGGGTTGTTATGTTGATTTTGATTTGATTATCAATAAGTGAAAATGTCAAAGACTGCAGAGCTATGTGATTTAAAGATAAAAAAATAAAACTGACTGATTATAATAACGTTTTCTTTATTGTTCTCTCAAAACATGATCCTTATAAGGAAGTTTCGGTTTCGGTTTCGGCCGAAACTGAGACCGTTGCCGAAATTCGGTTTCGGTCGTAAAAACCAGTTTCGGTCGGACACTAGACGTATTAAAAAACAGAAAAGTGAGTAATGAGGTACAGGCATGTGGGATGTTCTAGTTTTTGAGAAATGCGAAGATATGAAGTAGTGAAGGAGAAGCATGTACAACCAGTCATCAGACTAACGGCTTTGTGAAGATGATTTTTCAACGAAACGTCCCAACAAATGCACACATCAAATATAATATTTTTATGTACAAGATGCATTCTTTACTCACCTGGATTGTACAAAATAATACACCTCAAGCAACCCAGTTCGGCCCTGTCAATTTCCATTTCCCTCATTTTTACCACTAATTCGTTGAGCACCCTGTCGAAAATACCCCCAACTCCAACCTGATGGGCGGATTGTCTGAAACAAACAAAAATTATTTTACGTTAATTTTGAAATCAGAATTAAATGATTAAATTAATAAAAAAAAAGTCCGGAAATATTTTATAACGAGCATAAAACTAACCTGGTAATTGTGAGTCCTGTGGCAAGTACGATAGAGTCCTTCGCGTCTATTGAACGATGCGAAAATCCAGCTATCAGCAATTCATTCCAGCCTGCCCGAAGAAGAAGGACCTGGTCTTGTAACGGTAAAGACGTAAAATGTGGTATATTTTTTGCCCACTCAACTAATTGTAACAACTGCTTATTTGTCGCCTGGCAGAGATTTGTAACAGCATTCTATAAAAAAAGTTATCTAATAACAACTGATTCTTCCGTCGTATACGCATACAAAACGAAGGATTCTAGCTGTCATAATTCATAATTTTTCCCTAAAGAATTACTAATGATAGTAAGTTAAAGACAGTAGCGTCTAATTTGTTTTCTCAAAGTTAATTTTCAGTATTCCTTAGATAGCCCACCTATGAATGACATTAAAAAAAATATATATAGAAAAAAAATACCTGATTTATTTTTATTTTTCTTTTTAACTT